ATTTCATTTCCTGGACCCTACCAATGCATTGCCACACATTGCCAGCCCTCTCTCTCTTTTTCCCCGTGACATGTCCTGCTTTACCTCTTTCACACCGGGTAATTGGTGCAGAATTCAGGGGTGGGCTCATAGGTATAAAGTACTACAGCCAAACCTACACGTTCAACACATGCGCACCAAACCAAGGGATTACCGCAGCACCAACTGATCCTGATGAGATCAAAGCGGCCTGCAGAGAAGAAGGTGAGGTGGAAGGGGGGTGTCTGTGTGTGCAGGCAAAGGGAGGAGGTTTACTTAGTATTAACACGGTCAACAAGAAAACAATAAATATAATTAGATTTTAAAAACTGAAATACACAAACCCTAATTTACTCAAGAAAAGGTGTAAGAGAATTACTTTTGATGTTTTTTTTTTAAAAATAAAGCAGAAGTAGTGTGATTGTAAATAGAAGCTTTCGCCTATGCAAGAACTCAAAATTATTCCAACTGATTTTTTTTAATCTAATATTCTCGGCTATGAACTTTATTTAATTCAGTTTTATTATTGAATTAAAATATGGAAAATTCCTTTTTTTTTTTTTGTCTGAAAAAAATATTAAAATGTGTAATGGCATTGTTTAGTAATATAATACAGCACTATTTATAACACTGTTAAAAAACTGTTTAAAAATAATACAAATATATTCCAATGTGAAATAGAAATATTTGGCATCTAGAATATTGTATGAAGCTATTTAAAAACAAAGTAGTAAAATGTGGAATGATAATACTGTATTAAAAATGATGAAAATGTCCTAAAATGTGTGATTGCAATATTTAGTAATTATATTCATAAGATGTTTTATTTAAAAATTATTATATTATATTTATATTTATATTTATAATATATAAATAAAAAAATGTAGTGAAATGTGCAATGATATCATTTAGTAATATAATGTATCAATGTTTATAATACTGTAATAAAAAACATTTTTAAAAATTTAGAAAATAGTGAATTGTGTAATGACATCATTTAGTAATAGAATTTAGTCATGTTTATAATACTGTATTAAAAATGTATTAAAATGTGTAATTGCAATATTTAGTAATAATATTCATAATCATTTAACAATATATTATATACATTTTTATAACACTATTTTAAAGTACAGCATCTATGAAACTTTGAATATACAATTTTTTTAGCTAAAAGTAGCGACTACTTTTAAGTAACATTTTAATCAAGATTATATTCCCCGGAGCAGCCCTGGAAATGAACTCTGAACCTTTAAACTAGTGGTATGAATCCCTGACTTCAGTGGATTTGAACCAGCAGCCCAGAAAGCTCCAGAAGATACTCACACGGCGAGTGGTTGGGGGTATGGATGTCAATGTACTCAATGAAGTCTGAGAGGAATTGTGTGTTGTTGTCACTCTGAGCTTTCAGGTCTGTGCAGTAATCTCTAAAACATGGAAAAGGAACATTTCTCAGAATCATTTAGCAGAAATAAAGTAATAAGTACGATCGGAACAACATGAAGGTGAGTAAATGATCACACTATTTTTGGGTGAACAATCCCTTTAAGAAACTGACCTGGGTGCTATTAAAGTATATCCATACTCTTCAAATCTGTCCGCATGCAGGCTTTCAAAAACTGAAAGAAAATATGAAAATATCAGAAATCAGCAAGATCAAAGAGCATTTCAAATAAGTTCTGTCATTACAGAGCGGAAAATAATACAATACAGATATATACAGAATAAAAACAGACCCCAAAACATATAGGTACATTCAAAATGACCTGACAGTGAAACACAACTCTACAGACAGCAGGCTGCTGCACAACAGCTTGTGAAAATATGTCTCTGAGCTTCTGTCTAGTAATGCGGTTATCTGCTGTGACACCCTGCTGTTTAGGCACACGACCTCACATACGGGTGGCCCAGACCGAGAAAGATCTATTATCTCAAAATATAATAATAACAATTAAATTAAATAAGAAAAATTCAGAGCAAAGTTGAGGTCAAGAAATATGAAAGATTCTGCACTGTAACAATGTATTCTTAAATAAATAAATGTCTGTTTCAAATTCATCACATTCTCCCACATATATTCTGCTACATAGTTATGCATGTGGGTTTGTTTGCGAGTATGTTTGTTCTTTGTGAAACCAGATGACGGACTCAAACATGTGAGAGGTCAGATGTCACATCCAGGTTCAAACATGAAGGAAAAGACAAAAGGAGAGAAAAACAGTACTTGCCAGCTTCTTCTGAAGGGTCAAATGCCGCAAAGAGTGAAAGGAGGGAGCAATTTACAGAGGAAAGGAGGCAAAGAGAGGCAGAGAAACAGGGTAAAACCACAGGGGTCAAAGGTCACCAATATTTTATTCACAGAACAAGCCTTGAATAAAAATATTGCATTCTCATCTAAGGTTGTCTGCTGGTTGTAAATTGAAAGACAAGCAACGTTAATGAATTATGCATTCACACGAGCCAAAAAAACATGACAGAAGAAGGAGGGGAAAATTTCATGCAGAAAATAATTAGAAGTGACTTTCTTCAAAATGAACGTCACTTGGTTTGATATTTTGTTAATGCAATGGCATCCAGACATTTTTAAATGTGGCCAAACTGTCCAAATGCATTTTGAGGCCGCTGCCTTTTCACTTGATTTACATTTAACTCAATCTCTGTGATGGTGTCAGGTTGAAAAAAGACAAAAAAAGTGGTAAATTATGGTTTTAAAGGATGTAAAATATAGTTTAGCAGAAGGACAAGCCAAGATCTGGTGGCAGATGAGCGATTAGTACAGACTGTTATTGCGGAACAGCCTTGAAGTTACACTGTCCCGTTAAAGTTAAAAAGGGACACACACATACCACATCCGCACCTGGACATAAACACGTGGACCCAACACACACACACACACAGAGGACATGCCTTCTAAAGAGCGAGGCCTGTATTTTGTTAAACCGGCCCTTTTTACGAGGCTTTGAAAGCATCCAGATGATTCAGAGAGCGAAGGGGCGGAGATAAAAGCACAAAGAGTCACACTCATGTCCTCTGTGGTTTCACCTTCCAGACCTTCAGGAAAACATCTACTAAACATCTCCTGATGCTCTCACACATACACACACATTCAGACTTGGTCCCGGTCAGTAAATGTGATAGTCACACTTCATGACACTCATAACGTTGACAAACACACTGAAGTTGCAAAGAGAGAACACATCTAAACTGATTTACTCAGCTGGGAAACATTTACACATGCAAAGCACACATAGAAGAGTGAACGAATGTGTGTGTGTGTGTGTGCATTATTTTTTTATGGTGGCTGCGATTTAGATACTGTAAGTGTAGAGCAGGTGCTAGTAGTAGAGATAGGCCGATAAGGAAAAATCACGATAAGAATCTAAGTTCTTAGAAATGTCTCTTTGTAGAAATGTTGGTTTCATATGGTTTTGAAAAGCTAGAGTATACCATTTTTTAACAGTTTAAAGTTTAAATTTAATGACTTCAAAAATGTCAAGTGGTGTAACCATCAAGTAAAAAGTAAAAACATATTTTCCTTACACCCCGAATCTGTGTACACTTTATATTAGTATTTTAAATAACCATCTTTAGATTTACACTAATATCAAGAACTGTTATTCATCAGTTTGATTCTTTTTTAAGTTGCACCACATGACATTTTACTTAAACTCACATAAATATAATATAAATATATATGTAAATATTTTAATATATATGTTGCACCACATGACATTTTACTTGAACTCACCCTGCCATTTAAAAAAACCCATAAAATTATCAGATATTTTAAGAAACTTATTGATTCTAACACATTGTCATGAGGGTCTTCATAGGTATTTATATAATTTCCGATTATGAATCTTCACATGAATCATTAAATGACTTTGATTTAGACAAACATTTTTCAGATATTTATAATATTTAAGGAAAATTGCTCCAATGGTTTATTTATAAGAAATAACAGTAACAGTAAAAAACTAAATTTCAAATAATTGTATAAGGTTTTCTTTTTAAGAATGTCTTTCTATATATTATAGTATCAGAAAAATGTTATTACTTTGATATTCTTGACTTAATATCCCTATAAACATTAAAATGTATTTTAATTCATCATTTTTGTAGCAGTTTGTTGCATTTTAATGTATGTTTGAATAAATTAATATATCCTAAAATTATAGATCCTAAAATTCATATTAATTTAACATTTGAAAAAAGAAGTACATACTGCCAATAAAATGGTTTAAATGAAGTCTTTACTGACAGTAAGCAGCTCAATAAATTTGAATGGTAATTCCATCTGAGCCAGTATATCACAAAACAACAATATCGGCCGATCTCTAGTGAGTATCACTGAACACTATGAAGGAAATACAGAAGGAAAATACTTGCCGGGATTTTCTGAGACATTCCAAGCTGTAGACAGACAGGGAAAAGAGGAAAGGGAGAGAGATGGAGAGAAAAACAGAGAATGAAAAGGTTTTGGGGAAAGCAAGATATAGGAAAGAACATGAGGGATTTCACAATATTTTATTCAACCCCAGAAGCTTTGAATAAGAATATTGTACAGGAACTGTGAGGGCTCTCCTGAAGAGAGGGGCATTTGAGATTCCCTTTCCTCTCCCAAAAGCCACATGAGAGAGGACGAGAGGGTAAACATGGGCACAGAGGTGCATCTGGAAGAAAAACCTGGGCTAATGTGCACAAGGTGAAACCCTTTTGCTGTTAAAGGAGTCGTCGCCCCGTCTGGCGCACGCTCATGGAGACAAACCACAACTAAGGAACCACTCTGTTACATCTCCAGAGGAGGTGAGGGTGTCAAAAAGAGATGTGAAATGGACAGAGGCTGTAGGGGACTCTCTGGATAAAAACCAGGAGCTCATGCTACGGCTTCTGGCCTCTAAGGCCAAGAGACTGTCATTCCAATCTCTTTGATAAAGGTGCGAGAATGTGAGTTATGGTACTTACATTTGGCCTGAGTGATGGTGTCTACTATAGTGGCCTTGATGTAGCTGACACTGTAATCAGGTAGAACTAAAGCAAGACTACAGAGAGAAGACACAATAAATAAATGAGGATGAAAAGCAGTAGACTTCCTGACATTATTATAATTCCGAAATGAACGTCCTGTGAAATTAAAATTGGATTTTTGTAGCTTTTTGTCCATGCAGGTTGCAATTTATAGATTCCAACTCAAACTGGTAAGAGATTTTAAACTCTAACATAAATTACTCTATTTCACTTCACTGTATCTTTTACGGAAGAAGTATAATGTAAAATTTCTGTTCAACATGACTTTGAACAGTGCCCCCTACACTCTTAAAAATAAAGGTGCTTCACCATGCCATAGAAGAACCTTTTTGTCTAAATGGTTCCATAAAGAACCTTTAACATCTGAAGAACCTTTCTGTTTCACAAAAGGTTCTTTGTGGCGAATGAAGGTTCTTCGGATTACAAAAATGCAAGAAAGAGATGGTTCTTTAAAGAACCTTTGACTGAATGGTTCTTTGTGGAACCAAAAATGGTTCTTCTATGGCATCGCTTGAAGAACCTTTTGAAGCACCTTTATTTTTAAGAGTGTAGTTGCAATATTTAAAAAAAACATTCATATGTTCACTTGTACCACACAGAACCAAACACACCTTCACAACATAAAAACATGAAACATGAAACAAAAACAAAACAAGAAGAAAACAAAGCAAAGCAAAAAAATAAATAAATAAATAAAAACAAGACAAAAACAACTCATAAAATAAAATAAATAAAATAAAAGTAGCAAGAAGACAACAAAACAAGACATAAGACAAAAACAAAACATTTCTCAGACCTGTAGTCTGTGTCATGGACTGGACCCCAAGTGTAGGCTCTGATGCCTCTGTCTATGTAACGCTGCAATAAGAATAAAATAACACTTAGTGCTTTAATGAACTATTGATCTGTGTTTTACTTCTGAATAACTATTGTATAGCCCAGTGGTTCTCAACCGGTGGGTTGCGACCCAAAAACATTTAAAAGAGGGGAGAAAATGTTTGTGTGTGTGTGTGTGTGTGAGTGTGTGTGTGGCTAATCCAACTGTGTACAGTTTTAGTGTAATTTCATCTGTGATTTGTTCTCTTCCTGTTTTCCAATCTATGCTTGAATTGTGATGTCTTAAAATGTATTCATTTATTTAAGAGTGAGCCAAATAGATGGTTGGCCTTTATTTTTATTTTTTATGTCAAAGGATGTGTGTCTAATCCAACTCTGCACCATTTTAGTGCAATTTCATCTGTCATTTGTTATAAGAAACATATGATATATTAATATGGCTTAATAAGATAAACATGGTTTCTACCATCCAGAATGTGTTTTGTGCAGTAAAATTTTACCAGAGATATTTAGGAAATGATAATAAAATTCAATGAATATGTTTTAACATTTAAAGGCCATTTTTGTTTGCTTTTGTACAATGTTTTAAAAATGTAAAAATGTTTTATGTTGTTCCATTTGACCTCTAATAAAAAATTTAAAAAAGGTTCTGAAGCAAAACCAGCTGAGAAGCACTTCCTCTTTAAATCATGCATGATTACCTCATCTTGAGACTTCATAAGTGTTTGGAATCTCTTTTGATCCTTCTGACCCTCTATCATACTACTTCTGATCTACAGACAGACAGAAGTCAGACAGACAGACAGGTGGGTTGCTTTCAACTAAAAGAAGAGATTTACTACTGCAATCTAATATCCCCTTAGTCACTCTCAAGTGAGAAAATGAGTCATTTGGGTTGTGAAGTGAGAAAATTATATTTTTATAGCCAACATATTGTTATGAAATCACACAGGACTGAGAATCAACTTTGCTGTTTGTTGCTGCTTCGATAATCACTTTGTTATGACTTGAACTTCTGTACAACAGAGCACAAGTAACGTTACAAAATCAAATCACACCAGCCTGTATTCATTTTAACACAAGAAAGCTTGAATCTGAAAGCTGATTTCATATTTTTGAACTTAATGGGATATAAGATTATTTTGAAAAAGGGTTTTTGTCCATTAAATGAAAGTCAGTTGGGTCCAGCGTTGTTTTGGACCCCATTTACTTTCATTGTATTGACAAATTAGTTTTCGGCATAAGAAAGAACATCATAAAAGTTTGTTCTCACCTCCACCTTCACTTCATCCTCTAGTTCTGCATCCAAGAGGTCCAATGTCACGGGTTCTTGAGACTTGAGATCCTTCAGGCAAACAACAACAACTTTCAAAGTAATACCATAAATCAATACTGGACAGCATATTTGTGTCCAGTATATTTACAAATGAGTCACTTTTTCCTTGAAGAAGTGCCCAATGAGGAACTGTTTCTCAGCATACCTACTTTGTTCCACACAAAGTGTTCACTAATCCCATGGATCACTGACTAAACATTTACTAGTTGTCATGCATGTGTTTTGAATAAATGCTCTTTGTGAACTAAACAGAACGATTGTGTTTGGATTGCACAAATGCTATTTATTACAACGGACAGATGACCTCTGCACATGTGGGTGGCCAGAGTTATTTTATCATAACCTGTAGGGAAGGTCCTTCAGCCGTGCATAACTAATCATACACATGGTTATGGGCAGCTAATTTTAACAACCGAGAGAAAGAAACATACAGCGATGGCATGAGTGAGAGTCATACCTTTGGCTGAAGGTTGGGATGAAGTAGCACGTAGCCATTGGGGTCGATGGCGAAGTAATATCCATTTGGTCCGAGCTTTATGGAACAAAAGACAATGGGGATTATTATTCTGTAACATTTGATAGGGTGTTTTTGCTACTGTACCTTTAAGACTGCTACATGCAAATGAGGTTTGTTGTTATTGGCTAACCTTTTTGCATGTGAACTGTTTATAAACACTCCCACCAGGCTGGCACAAGTAGTTCATCATAAGTTTAAGCTTGGACGATTCATTTTTGCTGCTTAGTATGCACAGACAGAAGACAAAACAAACAAACAAACAAATCCTATTCTTGAGAAATATTGTTGCCTAGTTAAAGTAAAACTATTAAAATATATATTAAAAATAAAATATAGTGCCTTCAATTCCTGTTTTCCAATCTATATTTAAATCTTGATTAATTAAAATGTATTTATCTATGCATTTATTTAAGAGGGAGTCAAATGCATTATTTGCAAATTCGTATAATAATTAATTTGCCTTTTAGGTAATTTTATGTACAGCTTTGTTCAACCCAAAGAAAGAAAGAAAAAAATAAGTATACGGCCTATCAGACAATTTAAGAGAATTACTAAATTTTAGTTGATATTGGATATTAACACTGTTCAATGTAGTTTTAAAGCAAATCTCAAAATGAATATTAATATTATAATATTATATTATAACATTGTATGTTATGTATATTATGTTTTGATGCTTAAATTCACTTTTAGCATTAAATCACAATTGAATTTAGTTTTAGTTATTATTTTTGTATTAGTATTTTATATTATTATTAGTTAGTATTTTACTATTTTTATTTTAGTTTTATTGAAATAATTAAATAAATAAAAAAAATTGTTAATTGAACAATGTGATAATAATTGTTGGCTTATAAGTATCAAACAAAATGTAAATATCAGTGCAACCTTAAAACATACAAAGGACTTTATAAAACTTTATTATATAAAATGTGTATCAAACTCATGCAAACTAATCAAATCTATAAAAGTACTGTACATTAATCATGTGAACTCAAAAAAGGTCAAAATCAGACACAAAAAGTTTTCCTTGCTTTCATTGAGTATGTTTGCTATAGTAAGCCTATATTTAATATTTAACTTATGGTTTAACATAAAATTACCCCTTGGTAATTTATTTGGCACTGAAAGCAAAAAGAAAAAAATAACAAGATTGACTAAACACAAAGAATGCAGCAGCACTGGTAACATGACCCGGCTGCTACAGGTCAATGCAACGCTTGTGCAAGCTCTTCAATGTTGCAAACTCTCATATGTCGTAAATTAAGAAGTGCAGATCGCACCCACACGCTCTCACGCCTTACAGTGTAATGTGGAGTCAGTCTCTTGATGTCATCCAGAGACACGTCTATGGCCATCACCCCCAAAATCAGCTGGCTCTGGGCCTGCAACTGATAACAAGGACATTAAAACAGATCGTGTTCCACTTCAGTTCATCTGATTCACAAGACATCAATTCACTGACTTCACCTTATTCTTGTCTTGACTCTTCCTGGTGCTGGTCTTATTGAACACTGGCAGAGTGCCTGTAATCACAAGGCCCAATTCCTGCAACACAAATACAAACACAACAGCCATTCAATACTTCAGAATCAGCCTAATATCAGCCAGATATATCGAACATTAGACGTACTAGAGCGTCCACATAAACGTTGGTCCACTGTACGCTCTTTGCTTTCTTGTATTCTTTCACCATGGGTCTACCCAACACATCCAGGTACTCCTGCAGGGAAAGGATGCTGGTTACTATCATATATGATGCTGGACAACAGTCACATTTATGTCATTTACCTGGGTGTTGATCCTGATGGCTCCAATCGAGGGGATCTCATAATAATAACCTGCAGGAAACATTCAAATCTTAATACATGCTAATATATTGTAAGTCTACCAAATTTCTCAGCATTAAATTTCAGTGTTTCACCTTTGTTATTGCAAGCCATCCATTGAATTGGTGTCTTATCATAGTTATGCTGGCCCACAGAAAAGGTGAAGATTCGAACCTGACAGAAGAGAGAAACAAAAGATACATGATTATGTGTTTGTATGTGCAGTGCTTTTCAAAGTTTTTTTTATGTTTTTAATGGAGTCTCTAATGCTCAACATGGCTGTATTTATTTGATAAAAAAATACACAAAAAATGTAATTTTGTGAAATATCATTGCGATTTAAAATAGTAGTTTTCTATTTTAATATATTTTCAAATATAATTTATTCCTGAGACGCAAAGCTGAATTTTCAGCATCACTACTTTTTACTATTATTGGTAAAAAGATATTTAATTAAATATGATATTACATTTACATTTAGTCATTTAGCAGATGCTTTTATCCAAAGCGACAATATAAATAGAATAGAGAGTGCTAGTGTTACAGATAAAATTAAATATGATATAAATATGGTATAATGTTTTTGAAAGATGTGATTTCTCACTGCTCACCACAGCTGCAAGGCTCTTTTTTTTATCAAAACACAGTACAAACACTAATACTGTGTAATATTATTACAATTGAATATGTAATTTATTCCATGATCATTCGTAAATCATTCTAACATGCTCATTTGGTCCTCAGGAAACATTTCGTATCATTATCTATGTTGAAAACATGCATGTATATAATAATGCTTATTATAAGGCATAATATTGTTTTTGGTAAGCGTGACACATTGTTTTCCAGGATTCAGAAGAAATTTAAATTCAAAAGAACAGCATTTATTTGAAACAGAAATCTTTCTTTCATAACATCATACATGTTTTAGTCACTTTTGATCACTTTAATAAATTCATTCTGAATTAAAAGTATTATTTTCTTCTGTGTGTGTGTGTGTGTGTGTGTGTCCATGTGGTTCATCACCTTCTTTTCACTGTTGTACTCTTCAAAGATCTCTGAAGCTCTGTCCTCCCCTCCATCAGTGAACAGCATGATGATCTTATTACAGTTTGCTCTTGAAACATTCATCTATAAAAGGAACAAATAATTTTAAAAGTGCAAAGATTTTGGCCAGCATTAATATATACATACATATATATACATACATATATATATATATATATATATAACTTGTCTTGAAGATGTACAATAAACCACTGATGCCACTAGCTATAATATTCACTGCTGCCACAAGATGGCGCAATAAACTTAAAACTTACCTTTAAACAGATTTGATCTCAATATATACAATACACATATAACTTATAGAAAAAAAGTCCATCACAGAAAAATAATTTCAAAACCAAAAAAGCTGTTGCGTAGGTAAATATTTTGAGGGGTAAATAATGAGTGATATTATGGCCACATTATGTTTTTTGGCTTCTTATTTAAGCTACATTAGATATTCTTACTGAGGAGAGCTGGTAAAAAGCCTCCTTGAAGCCGATTTTATAGTCAGTGGTGCCATTCGCTGTGATCTTCTGGACTGCCTCCTTCAGAATCTTCTTATTACGGACATTTGCTTGGACCAGGTTTTCAAAGCAGGCGACCGACTTGGCCGAATTGTTGAACTGAAACAATATAAAAGCATCATAGTTAGTTATTCGTAAAAATCTGTTTAAGACTGTGAGGTGCAGCTTGCATACATGCAAAGATTGTTATGAAATCATTTCGATTCAAGGCTTTATTCGGGTCCTCTATATAAGTCCCATGGCTCAGTGCCAGCAATACACTTAGAGCACTGCTGGCTAATTTCATTAACGCCAAGCTAACGTCACACAGCTGGAGTCAGGCCATAAAATACAAGCGTGAAGTTATTAAAGAAATGGAGGAAGAAAGTTAATTGAAAATGTACAAAACAACTCACTCACTTAAAAACAGAATACAGAGTTTGTGATTTTTATTCCTGTCAGTAGTCTCATGAAGAAAATGAAATAAACGATGCATTTCATAAATTAATTGCACAGCGTCTAGAGCAGAGGATGAAGAGGATGCAAAAAAAATTAAAAATTACAACAACTATGATGTTATGGATGCTTGGAGGCTCCATGTCTCTGTTTCCCTCCAATTTTCTATTCCTACTCAGCAGGAATCCAGATTTTTTTGAGGAGTTCATCATTTAAACACACTCTCAGCAGCACACATATCTCCTGTAGACTCACAGAGACAATGTTGACGTAATCATCATCTGAGAGAGTCTCCAACATCTCGCTGACGGAAGTGCGAATGAGCTTCAGTGTCAGACCCGACACACTTCCACTCCTACAGAGAATAACATAGTTAGAACACAGTTTGAACATGTTACTACTGTACATAATCACTACAATTTGCTACAAAAGATTAGGATTATTTATTATTTTTTGCAGGAAAAAGTATCTTAATAAAAAACAAATCCAAAAGATAGACATCCAACTGAAAACAACTTAATTTGAAATAAAACAAAACAAAACAAAATAAAATAAAGAGAGAGAGAGAGACACCTTAAGGGAAAAAAAGCTGGAAAAAAAACAACTATACAAAATAATTATGTCTATGATTGATATAACAGATATTTAAAATAAAATAATATATAATATAAAATATTATGGACAGCCCAAAGAGCTGAAGGGGGGGGGGGGGGTTTCTAAATTTTATTAATTTATTAATTAAAAAATAAAGAGAGAGAGAGAGACACCTTATAGTTATGGACAGCCCAACGAGCTGAAGGGAATCCAAAAAAAAAAAAAATCCAAAATATAGATATCTAACTAAAAATATAATATAATATAATATAATATAATATAATATAATATAATATAATATAATATAATATAATATAATATAAT